TTTTGAAAGGTAAAAAGTGTGCAGAATGTATTTCCCCCTTTCTCACTGCACACCCCTCTATAGTTTTACCACTTTTCTTGATCTAAAAACTGAAATTTTATATTGCGAAAGAACCCTTATACTACATGAATAGCCAAAATGAATATTGGGGTAGCTTAACTCTGTGGTAATAGGTACCTGTCAAAAAGAGTATCCCTGTCCCTTTTTCCCGGTTCAGAAGGATTCTAAAGAAATGTCTTTAGGTACCCGCAGGGGGGAGTTCTTATCCCATGTATTTTAAAATTTGAATTAAAGCTCTCCCAAATGCTCTACCTGCCCCCACCCAAAACTTAGTATAAGTTTGCTGATATATCACGATCCATCAACAGGGCAAAGAAGATGAATACCTTCTTAATGAAGTTCAACAATTTTAATCGACGGGGCTCAAAATTTTCTTCCTCAAAAAACAAAGAATTAACAGCAAACACTCCCCCACCCATCTATTTGCGGGGTTAAATCATTGCTACGTTAAAACTTACAGAATCTTGGTGGATGTACCCTTTAACAAATCCACTATACCAAAAATAAAAAAGAAATGCAAAGTAGGCTAAATCCCCTCAAATTTTGTTTTGGCACAATCCCAATAGGGTGCTAATGTGAGAATCTGGAAGAGTACATACCCTATGAGGCCCTTTAAATTTGATTTTGCTGCTCCCTGTTGATATTGCTAGAGAAATTTCTCTCCGCCCTTGGATTAATGAAAAATGAAGCTCTCGGGATTTTTCTTGGCTGTCCCGATTACAAAAGTTTTAAAAACATGAGGAAGGAGCTTGGTATTTCTAGTACGTGATAGGATTGTTGAAATTAACACTGTACTCGTAATAGAATGTTGAGAAACGAACCAGACACTGTCACAGTGAATCTTACCAAGGGGTTAGAGGTAATACACACAGATCTAAATGGATTGTGAAAACGTGAATTGCTTTAAAGTTTTATAACCTGCATGAACTGATCACTGTAGGCAAAAAGAGCATTTCACCCCCCAGGAAATGTTTCTTTTAAATTCACATACTACAGTCCCCCCCAAAGAATTTTTTGCTAGTAATCCTTCCTTAAATCTCTTGTTAAGCAACTGCATAAGAAAAATTTCTCACCTAGCTGGTAGTAATAAGTTACCACAATTTTTATACACTGATGTCTAAACAGGAGTCTTCTGCAGGGGCTTGCTTTGTTGCCACCTCCCTAGTTAAGAAAGATAATAAATTTGTTTAGTTTGGATAAGAATTAACAACTGGGGTCCATGCAAAAAGAATTGTTTTTCAAACCTAATGGGCGCTAAAGCAAAAATATGCACTGACTTGCCTATCATCATTTCTGTTCTATGTCATATTGAAGGCTCTTGACTCTATAATGACTCCCAAAAACATGCTATTGGAGAAGGGCCCGGTATAGATACTAAAAATTAGGGGGCAAAAATTAATGACAATTTTTATGGATCCCTCAACATGGATTACTCCTTCATGATAAGTTGATAGTTACCAAGAAGGTACCCCGAAGGGAAAGTAGAAAAATAAATTCGGTATATCTGTGTAAGCATTAGGAAAAAATATTAGGAGAGAAATAAATAATGAAAATGATTGTTATAGGAATGCAGTTAGAAGCCTGAGTAATTAAACCCACTTTTATAACTGAACTAGATAAGTATGTTTGGGACAATTGCAAAAGTGAACAGATGCTGATGTTGTAGGGGCCAGGCTTAGGCTTGGTTACAAGTACTTCTGGGAGTTTGGGGAAACACAGATGATTCAAACTAAATGTAAAAATTTTTGATCAGGCATTGGTCCTCTCGAACCTTGTGCTTAAATTTTCCACTTATTGAGGAATACAGAGACAAACGTATAATAAACCAGTGAAGTCAAGTATCTTATTTAAGAAAATAAAACCGAATACTAAACAATTTCCTAAAATTTTCTTGAACAGATAATTTAACTATAGATATGTGTATAAATCCCCTTGTATTCCCGTTAACCCTTTGGGGCCTAGTTCCTAGGCCCTTTTGGTATCCTATGTTCTCGCGTACCCTCCACAGATGGATATGGGGTGCTAATAAAAAGCCCCTTTGGTGGCAAAAACTAAAATCTAAAATGGTTTGAAATAGGAACACTAGTGAGGAGCCTACACACTCAGATGGTTATCTGGGTTTTTTAAGCCCTCCAGGGGAAGGTAACAACCCCCCCCCCAGGGAAGGAACAAACCAGGATTAATAACCTTATAAAAAAAAAATTAAAAAACACCCGCCTTTTGGTGCATTTGTTTAATACAGGTAAAAAAAAATGAGATCCGTTTGTACTTTTTTAAAATGCCGCATTATTAGTACCTACCTATGAACAAATGCATGTGGTATTTTAAAAAATTTTTAAATAAATAAAGAAGGGTTTTTGTTAGCAGTGCGTGTGTGTGCCCGGTACAGTAGGGGAAAAAAACACCTCTGCTTGCGCCACCACTTTACTTTATACCTCTCACTAAAATATCTGGGTGACTCATACACTCTAGGGCACGTAAAACATACCGAATATTTGCATTGAAAATTGGATAATTACCATTATATACAGTGGTAAATATCAAAAAAAGGGCATTTTTTCATGTTCTCGCTAGGGGGGTGCCTTGAAGCAGGCGGGGGGCTCTTGATCCAAGCAGTTAAAAGTAAGTTTTTTTGGGCACGGGTATACATAAGTACAATTATATACATAGTGTAAATTACCTGGATAAACCAAAATGTCAAATAAAGTGAATTTCTTTTGGGGGCCCCAGGACCTGCTCTCCTTTTTCCTTGGGATCAAACCGAATGCCTTCCATTTAATAGATGCTGTGTGATCGCCCCACGGGTTTTTTGGGGCTTCCCTCCCAAATTTTAAAAAATAATTGATAACTTAGGTGAACAAATTTGAAGGTTCTTTTGTCAGGGTTTTAGGTCCCTTAAAAATTCCCCCCTATTTAATTTTTGCTTTTCGAGAGTCTTATAAAATTGCTGCCTAAAACAGATTGAAAATAAAGAAAGAAAAGTTTTTCCTTTTGGTTGGTAGCATCCTAGCTCACACAAGAGGGGGTTGGGGTGATCCTCGGGCCGGGTGTATGTTAGGTAAAATAAAATAAATAAGATTTCGTTGGTTTTTTAAAACCCGGGGGGTTTCCACCCAGGAAACCCCCGAAAGTCAGTGCGTCATCGAGGAGTCTAATTTTTTCCATTGGGGGCCTTATCTTGTCCCCCGGTCGACCCACACCAGTCAAACACCCCGGTACCTATTTTGTCTAGGGAACAGGACAACAGGTGTAAGGAAACGGTCGAAATGTTTTCCCCCCGCCGGGGAAAGAACCGGGCCCTCCGTGTGTGAACGGGACTTTAGCCACCGGGCCACCCCCCAGGCCATTCACCTGCTGCCCTTGTTTTAAACCCAGAGTAAGAGGTACCGGGTTTACTCGTTGTGAGTCACATTGGGGGGAGGGGGGAGTGTTTGGTTTTTAAAACATAAGGAGGGGACTTCAAAATCTTTACGGAAATAATCTACATTACTTAGCTTTTTTTTTTTTTAAATTTTTGGATCAGAGCTCTCATTGGGAGAAAATTGAGTCTTCTATTGTTTTTAATTGTTTTGAAAAGTGAGATTACTTTTCATAATTTACCCTTAAGAATATTGGGAAATTTAAGGTATGAAAAAAAGCCCAAAAAATCACAGAAAAACAGAAGCCCCCCGGGAAGTAAAAGGGCACTTTAAATTTATTTGGTTACCTGGTTACACTGTTTTTCTATCACCAAAGACTGCCTACAATAACTAGTGCTTATTTCACAAAAAATTTTTATTGTGTCTTTAAAATCAACTGTGTTTTTAAACTTTAAAGCCCCATTAGAAAAAATGTTTAATTTGAAATCCTGTGTAGTAGTAATAATTAATAATTGTTAGTAAAGTTACCGTCACTGATAAATTTAATGAAGTCGAGTCACCAACTCCATTTAAAATGATAATAGTAAAGGGCACCAACTCACTAAAATTTGGGATCCATTAGTCACCAAATTTATAATTAATAAGTTTTTTCAGATTTAATTTGTGTGTTTTTATAGGGCTGATGCTTCAAATTTTAAAAGATAAAGTCTTATTGTATTGTAATTTTTTTTTTTTTTTTTTTTTTTTTTTTTTTTTTTTTTTTTTTTTAAAGTCGGCCATCCCCATCGAGGCAGGGTGATCCAAAAGAAAGAAAATCCCCAAAAAGAAAATGTTTTCATCATCATTCAACACTTTCACCGCACTCACACATAATCACTGTTTTTGCAGAGGTGCTCAGAACACAACAGTTTAGAAGCATATACGTATAAATATACACAACATATCCCTCCAAACTGCCAATATCCCGAACCCCTCCTTTAGGTGCAGGCATTGTACTTCCCATTTCCAGGACTAAAGTCTGGCTGTATAAAAATAACCGATTTCACTTTGACAATTTTCTTCTTATTATTCTTTTTAGTAATTATTTCAGGAAAAGGGGTTACTAGCCCAATGTTCCCGGCATTTTAGTTGACTTTTACAACATGCATGGCTTACAGAGGAAAGATTCTTATTCCACTTCCCCGTGGTTATAAAAGGAAAAGTAATAAGACCAAGAACTATTAAGATAAAATCAAAGAAAACTCAGATGAGTATATATAAATAAACATATACATGTATGTGTAGTGTGACATAAGTGTAAGTAGAAGTAGCAAGACGTACCTGTAATCTTACATATTTATGAGACATACAAAAAACACCAGCAATCCTACCATCATGTAAAACAATTACAGGCTTTCGTTTTACACTCACTTGGCAGAACGGTAGTACCTCCCTGGGGGTTGCTGTCTACCAACTGGCAAATTTTCAATGCATATCATTAAGTCCCTGTTACAGCCCAGTACTTTCCTGTTTATAATATTGATTTATGTACAGTACTGTAAATATTGTTATTTAATTAATTTATGATTACTTCCATGGCAGGTAAAGATGTTTGGAAGGGGTGGACGTGGTGGCGGTGGTGGTTATGGAAGAGGTGGTGGTGGATATGGCAGAGGTGGCGGCAGTGGGTTTGGCAGAGGTGGTGGTGGTGGATTTGGCAGAGGAGGCGGCGGTGGATTTGGCAGAGGTGGAGGTGGTGGTAAGTGCACATATGGTACTAGTCTGCATACTGTGCTATGTATTATGTATATAGTACTGCACTGTATATCAACTGCTGTATCTTCTATAACATTGTGTAAAAGCACTGGATATTAACTATATTATAACTAGTAAAATATCAAGTAGATGTATGCTGTTAATATCAAACTTCCTTTTTGTTGCATGTAAAGTAAAAGGACACAAGTGCAACTAATGTGACATTTTATTGTGGCAACGTTTCGCTCTCCAGGAGCTTTGTCAAGCTGATATCGGCTTGACAAAGCTCCTGGAGAGCGAAACGTTGCCACAATAAAATGTCACATTAGTTGCACTTGTGTCCTTTTACTTTACATATTGTCGGTAATTCTACCAACATTATTACATTCCTTTTTGTTCAGGAAGTACTGTAGTTGATGTGTAACTGTTAAATCATTCTCATTTCCAGTAGGTTAACATTTCTTGAAAAGCTTATACATTTTTTGACAAAAAGATTATGCAGAGTTTTGACTGGATGATTAAGACTTGTTAGTGGCATGTAATGAAAATTTTGTATGTGCTTTGTTATTTTCCTTAAGTACTGTACTGCACCAATGTATAATTATTTTTTTTATGTTATAGGTTTTCATGGAGGAGGAGGGCGTGGTTTTGATGATGTGCCTGGAGAAGTAAGTGTATACATGGATTTTTTCTATTACATTTTACAAATGTAGATAAGGTTATAACCCTTCACATTTTATTTCAGTACCCATTGAAGGAGGTTCCTTGATGCTGATAAAGGGCTCTTGATATAAGGAATTGAACCTATAGTCCAATTGCTTGAAACGAGTCTAAATACCTTCCATTCCCCCAGGTGCTGTGACCCCTATAGGTTTATTACTACCCCGCTAAATTTTATTTCGGTATCTTTTTGGCATTATTAATACCAACTTTTCTGTTAAGTCTCTCTTACTCCCTGCATGTAATATCTCATAAATTTGGCTATATAAATTTGTGTACAGTAAGGGAGGCAAAAAGAGAAATGTATGAGAGTAGTGCAGTGGTGCCAACGCTCTTATATGGGTGTGAAGCATGGGGTTGTGAATGTTGGAGCAAGGAGGCCGAAAACAGTGGGGATGTCATGGCTGAGGGAAGTGTGGGGTGTGAATTTTATGTAGAGAATTCATAGCTTGGATATTAGAAGGCGATGCAGGGTTGCTAAAAATATTATCCAGAGGGCTGAAGAGGGGTTGTTAAGGTGGTTCGGACATTTAGGTAGGATGGAACAGAAGGACACTTGGAGGGTGTATAAGATAAGATAAGATTTCGTTCGGATTTTTAACCCCGGAGGGTTAGCCACTCAGGATAACCCAAGAAAGTCAGTGCGTCATCGAGGACTGTCTAACTTATTTCCATTGGGGTCCTTAATCTTGTCCCCCAGGATGCGACCCACACCAGTCGACTAACACCCAGGTACCTATTTGCTGCTAGGTGAACAGGACAATAGGTGTAAGGAAACGTGTCGAAATTTCCACCCGCCAGGAATCGAACCCGGGCCCTCCGTGTGTGAAGCGGGAGCTTTAGCCACCAGGCCACCGGGCCACCGGTGGAAGGAAGGTGGGGTAGTAGTCATTCTAGGAAAAGTTAGAGGGAGGAGTTAAAGGAGATTTTGATAAATTAGACACATGTGCAACTCTTGGGTATCTTCATTGAGGAAACGTTTCGCCACTCAGTGGCTTCATCAGTCCATACGTAGGAGAAACTTGAAGAACAGGAGGAGAATGAGGTAATCAGTCCCTCAACCTTGAGTCGATGTGTTCAGTCCATCAATCTTGAATAGAATACGGCATATCAGCGGAGAAGCAGCTTATAAACCATATGGCAGGAGAGGTGCAGCAGTCATAGGTCATGTCACATTTGTTCAATGTGGAAGTAGGTCGTGCCCAAGAATTAGGCAAGCGACCTACTTCCACATTGAACAAATGTGACACGACCTATGACTGCTGCACCTCTCCTGCCATATGGTTTATAAGCTGCTTCTCCGCTGATATGCCGTATTCTATTCAAGATTGATGGACTGAACACATCGACTCAAGGTTGAGGGACTGATTACCTCATTCTCCTCCTGTTCTTCAAGTTTCTCCTACGTATGGACTGATGAAGCCACTGAGTGGCGAAACGTTTCCTCAGTGAAGATACCCAAGAGTTGCACATGTGTCTAATTTATCAACATGTCGGTTCTCTGAACCATTCATCTACAAAGGAGATTTTGTATATGAGAAGCTTGAACATCCAGCAAGTGTGTGTGTGTGTTAGATATTGAATGGAGACGAGTGTTTTTTATGATGATGTATTGTTGGAGTATAAGCAAGGTAACATTTATGAAGGGATTCAGAGAAATGGGTTAGCTAGACTTAGTCTTGGAGCTGGGAAGTACAGAGCTTGCATTCTGAAAAAGGGGTGGGGATATTTGCAGTTTTCAACTGTAGTATTGGTGAGCCTCTGGCAAGACAGTGATAAAATGAGTGATGGCAAAAGTGTTTTTTCTTATTCAGGTCACCCTTCCTTGGTGGGAGATGGCTGGTGTGTTGAGTACACTAAATTTCTTCTTTCAACAGACTGGCCATTTCCCACCGAGTCAGGGTGGCCCAGAAGGAAAAACCAAAGTTTCTTCTTTTAAATTTAATAATGCATACAGGAGAAGGGGTTACTAGCCCCTGGGCTCCTGGCATTTTAGTCACCTCTTATGACATGTACGGCTCATGGAGGAAGAATTCTGTTCCACTTACCCGTGGAGATAAGAGGAAATAAACAAGATCAAGAGCTAGTAAGAAAATAGAAAAAAACCAGCGGAGTAAGTATATGTATATATGTTTGTACGTGCATATGTAGTGTGACCTAAGTGCAAGTAGAAATAGCAAGACGTACCTGAAATCTTGCATGTTCTTCTCTTCTTCTTTCAACAAACCAGCTGTATCACACTGAGGCAGGGTGACCCAAAAAAAAAAAAAAAAGTTTCTTTTTAACTTTAGTAATGTGTACAAGAGAAGGGATTACTAGCCCCTTGCTCCCGATCATTCATTCAGTGCTGTTTTAATTGCAGCTCGTAAGCATCACATTTCAAATGAGCCTGTGAACTGCAACCTCCACACCTATTATTTTTCAAAACTATTCACACGTGCCCTGAGGATTTATTTTTCTTAGTGAAGTTTCCACAGAGGCAAGAGTGCAAATGTTACATTTTTTTTTTTTAACACATTGGTCGTATCCCACAGAGACAGGGTGACCCAAAAAGAGAAAATCCCCAAAAAGAAAATACTTTCATCATCATTCAACACTTTCACCTCACTCATACATAATCACTGTCTTTGCAGAGGTGCTCAGATACGACAGTTCAGAAGTCCCTCCAAACTGCCAGCATCCCAAACCCCTCCTTTAAATTGCAAGCATTGTACTTCCAATTTCCAGGACTCAAGTCTGGCTAACCGGTTTCCCAGAATCACTTCACAAAATGTTACCCTGCTCACACTCCAAAAGCTCGTCAGGTTCCAAAAACCATTCGTCTCCATTCACTCCTATCTAACACGCTCACACATGCTTTCTGGAAGTCCAAGTCCCTCACCCACAAAACCTCCTTTACCCCTTCCCTCCAATCTTTCTGAGGACAATCCCTACCCCACCTTCCTTCCTCTACAGATTTATATGCTCTCCAAATCATTCTACTTTGATCCATTCTCTAAATGACCAAAACACCTCAACAAACCCTCTTCAGCCCTTTGACTAATACTTTTAGTAACTCCACACCTCCTCCTAAGTTCCACACTCCAAATTCTGTGCATAATATTTACACCACACATTGCCCTAAGGCAGGACATCTCCACTACCTCCAGCCACCTCCTTGTTGCAGTATTTGCAACCCAAGCTTCACACCCATATAAGAGTGTTGGTACCACTATATTTTCGTACATTCCCTTCTTTGCCTCTATGGATAATGTTTTTTGTCTCCCATATCCTAAATGCACCATCCCCTTTTTTTCCTTCATCAATTCTGTGGTTAACCTCATTCTTTATAAACCCATACACTGACAAGTCAACTCCCAAATATTTGAAAACATTCATTCTTCCATTCCCTCTCTCAATGTGATCCCAAATTTTTCTTTACTAAATCATTTGATCTTCATCACTTATTTTTTTTACTTTCACTTTAACTTTCTACCTTTCACCCCCCCCAAAATCGTCCACTAACCTTTGCAATTTTTCTTTAGAATCCCCCATAAGCACAGTACTCAGCAAAAAGAAACTCCCATTTTTTTTATTTGATTCCCCATAATTTTAATCCCTCCCCCCCCAACCCCTAGCATTTACTTCTTTTACAACCCCTAATTATTTTAAACAACCATGGTAAATTTTACACACCCCTGTCAAGCCTACTTTTACCGGGAATGTCTCCCCCCTACACACCCTAACCTGAGCCTCACTATCCTCATAAAAACCTTTACAGCATTTAGTAACTTACATTTCCATAACTGTAAGTGGACCCCTGCAAAAGCTAAAAATCGTTCCTGAGAGTAAATTTTATGCAAAATATCGTTATGGAATTAATTTTTCCCCCATAAGAAATAATGGAAATAAAAATTAATCCGTGCAATTTTGAAAAAAAAATTTTTACACGTAAAATATTAATTTTAATCCCAAAAAATTTAAAAAAAACATCACATTTTACATGCACTTACCTTTATTAAAGATGTGGTGATGATTGATGGGATGGGAGGAGGGGAGACGGGTTTGGGTTTTAGTGTTTAAAAGGGGAACCCCCCTTCATTAGGACTTGAGGTGTCAAGTCTTTTCGGGGGTTTGCTTCCCTTCTTCTTTTTAAGAATAGGACCACTTCAGGTCACTGGGCTTCTGTCGCACAAATATCTGTCCTTTGGCCTGTACCTTCGTTCCTTTAGACTTTCCCAAAATGTTTCCACAGTGTCAGTGTAATAGTCACCAGCACACTTGCAATAGCTGTCTGAGGTGATTTTCTCCATGAAAGGTTTGCACTTCAAGCCCCATTGCACAGATTTCCTTAATCTTTGAAGTAGGCAACTTTTTCAATTTCTCTCTCCCCCCCTCCGAAGAAATTTCCTCAGGGGGGCCTCTTGCGTTGAAGTTGTCTAGAGTCACATGGTTTTCCCTTATTGTCCTCCACCAACTTTCCCACATCCGCCCACTAACCTCCAACCCCAAGGATTCCCAAATGCCACAAGGATTTCCTCAACTGGCCTTTAGGATCTCGGGGTTAGCCTCAAATCCTTCAGAATCCCTTTGGTCTTTTCATTCGGGCCCACGTTCTTCAAGCAGGAGTTCAAGGTCCCTTAGTCCTCCCCCCCAAGCCTTACCATAAGGTTTACACAATGGGATATTAAAGTGCTCTCTCCAAAACTCTCTTAAGGTCAATGAGTTTCTGAGGTCACTAAAAGCACCTTTCAAACAGAGTTTTTAGTACAGTTTTTTGAAGTTTGCAATAACCTGTGGTCCATGGGCTGCAGGAGAGGAAGTGGTTATTAGGGGGCAAAAACTTAAAAACTTTAATGAAGTAAATGTCCCCACTAAGTCGCTCTGCCAAGTCTGTAGGATGACCAGGGGCATTGTTAACACCAGGAGGCACTTAAGGTCTATTTCACCACTAGCATTGCACACATGAGAAGTAGGTAAGCCTGTCTTTCATAGGCTTATGTCCTGGGAGTCCCTTTTTCCCTCCTGAGTAATGTAGGTCCTGCTTGGCTTTTTTCTTCCAAAACAGGCCTGTTTCGTCACAATTAAACACTTGTTCAGGTTTCAGTCCTTCACTGTCTATGTACTCCTTGAATTCATGCACATATTTTTCAGCTGCTTTTTGGTCCGAACTGGGGCCTCACCATGCCTTATCACACTATGTATGCCACTACGCCTCTTAAATCTCTAAAACCCAAACCCTTTGCTGGCCTTAAATTCACTCGCTCACCATTTAGTTGCAGGCATTTTTTAATTAAATCCTCGGCAAATTCCCTAGCCTTTTCACTTATGATTGCTTGAGAGATGCTATCCCCTGCTATCTGTTTTTCGTTTATCCACACCAATAACATTCTCTCAACATCTTCTATCACTTGCGATCTCTGTTTCGAAAGCACAGTTAAACCTTTGGCAAGAACAGCTTCCTTGATTTTCGTTCTCTTGGACACAATAGAAGCGATGGTTGATTGGGGTTACTATACAACCTGGCCAGCTCGGAGACATGCACTCACTTTCATACTTAGCAATGATCTCTTTCTTCATCTCCATTTGTAATTCTCCCTTTTTTTCCTGTAGGGTTGGCACTAGAAACTTTCTTGGGGCCCATGGTCACTTATTTTTCAGGTGAAAATCACGATAAAAGGCTGTAATAGTACGAAATGTTTTCCCATTGTATGCTTGAATGTTACGCGGAGGCTGGCTTGTAAACAGTGCCACTGGCAGAACAAGTGAGGCTGGCTCAGGCCGCATGGACGTGTCTCGGACGAATCGCAGTTTTAGCAAATTTTTTAGCACTATGCGAGGCAAAATTTTAGCGATAAAATGTATCGCTATGCGGATTTAACACTTTTGCGATGCCAACGTTTTGCGGGGGGTCCACTGTATTGGAACATCTGCCACATTGCTCCTCTATCCACTCATCATATGCCTTTTCTAAATCCATGAATGCAATGAAAACTTCCTTACCTTTAACTAATACTGTTTTACATATATGCTGCATGTAAACACTTGATCTACACATTCCTACCCACTCTAAAGCTCCCTCGCTCATCTGGAATCCTATTCTCTGTCTTACCTCTATTCTTTCAAAAATAACCCTACCATACACTTTTCCTGGTGTACTCAGTTAACCTCTAATTCTTTCAAAAATAACCCTACCATACACTTTTCCTGGTGTACTCAGTTGACTTATTCCCCATTAATTTTACATCCTCTCTCTGCCAATCCCTAGGTACCTTTTCCTCTTTCATATGTTGCATATGTGTTTGTTAAATTACCCTGTGAGAAACAGTGAAGGGAAAATAGCTGGGTTGAAAATTTTCCTTGAAGAAGCATTTTTTTTTTTATTTACTTAGATAAATCTGGAAATAAGGATATCAAAATACAGTGGACCCTCGACCAACACTGGCATCGTCTGAAGATAAAATAGCCTAACAATGCATTTCTGTGTAAAAATATTGGCTCGACCAACGGTGAAAAACTCGGGTAAGGACATTTGTCCTGAACGCATCCGCCCTTTCCCCCGTCCCGCCTGAGTGCCTCAGCTGCCCTGCCTTCAGCTAGTGTGCCATTGTTTACAAGCCAGGGCGAACGGTTCACGCTACATGCGATATATTTTGTATTATTCCATTGTTTTTTGGGCTTCTAAAATGCTAAATATGCCACCATGGCCCAAAGAAAGTTCTAGTGCCAACCCCGTGGTAAAAAGGGTAAGAAATTCTATCGAAATACTATCGTACCAATGGTCAGCTGCTGCTGCTGCACCACTGTCAGCTGCTGCTGCACCACTGTCAGCTGCTGCTATGCCCTGTCAGCTGCTGCTGTACCACAGTCAGCTGTGCTGTACCACCATCAGCTGCTGCTGTACCCCCAATCAGCTGCTGCTGTACCATGGTAAAACTGCTGCTGTACCACAGTTACTGCTGTTACCACGGTCAGCTGCTGCTGTACCAGGGTCAGCTGCGCTGTCCCACGGTCCTACTGCTTGTCCACGGTCAGCTGCTGCTGTACCACGGTCAGTGCTGCTGTACCATGGTCAGCTGCTGCTGTACCAGGTCAGCTGCTGCTGTACCATGGTCAGCTGCTGCTGTACCACGGTCAGCTGCTGCTGTACCATGGTCAGCTGGCCGTGCTGTTTACCATGGTCAGCTGCTGCTGTACCATGGTCAGTGCTGCTGTACCATGCATTTACCGGTCAGCTGCTGCTGTACCACGGTCAGCTGCTGCTGTACCACGGTCAGCTGCTGCTGTACCACGGTCAGCTGCTGCTGTACCACGGTCAGCTGCTGCTGTACCACGGTCAGCTGCTGCTGTACCACGGTCAGCTGCTGCTACCATGGTCAGCTGCTGCTGCTGCTGCACCACCATCAGCTGTACTACTCGAAGATGTGGAGAGAGTATTGTTGGTGTCGCTTAACGAGAAACAATTACAGAGAAACAATTAACCCCAGAGGGTTAGCCACTCAGGATAACCCAAGAAAGTCAGTGCGTCATCAAGGACTGTCTAATTATTTCCATTGTTTTTCATTAATCTTGCCCCCCAGGATGTGACCCACACCAGTCGACTACACCCGGGGTGAACAGGAAAAAATCCCTGGAACTAGTGCTCATATTGGTGAATTAAGGCCAGCAAAGGTTGGTTTGAGAGATTTAAGAATCGTAGTGGCATACACAGTGTGATAAGGCATGGCGAAGCTGAAAAATTCCATCCCCCATTAAGTGTTCAATTGTGACGAAAACAGGCTGTTCTGGAAGAAAATGCCAAACAGGACCTACATTACAAAGGAGGAAAAGGCACTCCCAGGACACAAGCCTATGAAAGACAGGCTAACTCTCATGTTTTGTTGTAATGCTAGTGGGGATTGCAAAGTGAAGCCTTTACTCTTGTATCACTGAAAATACCAGTGTGTTAAAGAAAAACAGTGTCTCATCAATCATCAATACAGTGGACCCCCGGTTTACGATATTTCATTCCAGAAGTATGTTCAGGTGCCAGTACTGAGCGAATTTGTTTCCCAGATGACACCCGAATCTGCATGACAGTGTCTTCCATTGCAGACACTGCAAGGCTCCAGGTGGACATCAACCAAATCTTTCAGTGGGCTGCAGAAAACAATATGAAGTTCAACGATGAGAAATTTCAATTACTCAGATATGGTAAACATGAGGAAATTAAATCTTCATCAGAGTACAAAACAAATTCGGGCCCCACAAAATAGAGCGAAACACCAAATGTCAAAGACCTGGGAGTGATCATGTCGGAGGATCTCACCTTCAAGGACCATAAAATTGTATCAATCGCATCTGCTAGAAAAATGACAGGATGGATAATGAGAACCTTCAAAACTGGAGGCCAAGCCCATGATGACACTCTTCAGGTCACTTGTTCTATCTAGGCTGGAGTATTGCTGCACACTAACAGAACCTTTCAAGGCGGGTTTAAAATTTGCCGACCTAGAAATGTATAGAGAACTTTCCGGCGCGCATAACGGAGATAAAACACCTCAATTACTGGGAGCACTTGAGGTTCCTAAACCTTTTATTCCTGGAACGCAGGAGGGAGAGATACATGATTATATACACCTGGAAAATCCTAGAGGGACTAGTACCGAACTTGCACAGAAAAATCACTCACTACGAAAGCAAAAGACTTGGCAGACGATGCACCATCCCCCCAATGAAAAGCAGGGGTGTCACTAGCACGTTAAGAGACCATACAATAAGTGTCAGGGGCCCGAGACTGTTCAACTGCCTCCCAGCACACATAAGGGGGGATTACCAACAGACCCCTGGCAGTCTTCAAGCTGGCACTGGACAGCACCTAAAGTCATTTTCCTGATCAGCCGGGCTGTGGCTCGTACGTTGGTTTGCGTGCAGCCAGCAGCAACAGCCTGGTTGATCAGGCTCTGATCCACCAGGAGGCCTGGTCATAGACCGGGCCGCAGGGGCGTTGACCCCCGGAACTTTCTCCAGGTAAACTCCAGGTAAGGAATATTGTGAATTAGATTAGTCCTTTTCAGACCCCAAACGTACACGTACAAACGCACTTGCATAAATACACTTACATAATTGGTCGCATTGGGAGGTGTTTGTAAAGCGGGGGTCCACTTTACTCTTCAATACAGGTAAGTGTCTTTTTAGCATTTTTTTTTTTTATTTTTGTTTATTGTGCATGTCTCATTGTTTTCTTTGTAGGGAAATGTATATTTCATGAAAAAAAAATTTATTTTTTTTAATACTTTTGGCTGTTGGAAAAAAGGATTATTGGATTTCCATTATTTCTTAGGGGGAAAATTAATTCGGCAAACGATAAATTCGGCTAAGGACAAGCTCTCTGGAATGGATTAATATCATTTGGTCGAGGGTCCACTGTATTTTAAAGAATACCTAGGTTTTTCCCATTCAAATTTATATCAGAAGTTTAGCTATGTAGAAATCACACGTGAATGAAATTGAGTATTTTCTGTTTAACCTTGGGTTTGCTTTCATTATCTGGGGCCCTTTTTAAGGTGGTTTGTTAATATTTTTGTATATATTTTTAGCTCCCAAAAGATGTAAAATTCTTGTTAGAATATTTTCAGGTGCTGGAGTATGGTTACTTTACACACACAGCACAAAGGACCTTGTGTGTAAAGTGACACACAAAGATGTCCCTACTTTAATGTCCAATATTTTTAGAAAATAAGAGAGGTGGAAGTATGTCCATAATTTGTTTATAAATTATTCAGTGAGACTTTTTTAGTTAATTTAGTCTCTTTTTTTTTATAACTACGTTATATTATAAAATATTATGTAAGTTGTAGGTGATTTTTTCAGAGAACCGACATGTTGATGAATTAGCACATGTGGGAACTCTTGGGTTCCCTTTTTGAGGAAACGTTTTGCAGACAATGGCTTCATCAGTCCTACAAAAAGAATCTTGAGAAACAGAGGGGAATGGGTAATCAGTCCCTAAAACCCTTTAGTCGATGTGGTCAGGGCCTCAATCTTGAATGAATTCGGTATATGGGTGGGGAAAAAAGGAGCTTAAAAACCGTAGGCAGGAGAGTGCAGCAGTTGTAGGTGGTGTCACATTTGTTCAATGTGAAGTAGGTCATACCCAAGGTTTAGGCAGCGAAGAATTCCCAAGATTAAGATCCAAGGAGTTGCAGTGTCTGAAGGATTGTATGGACTGAGAAAACCCCTGTGTGGCGAAACATTTCTCATTTAAAAATACCCAAGAAGTGCACATGTGTCTTTAAATTTTTCATTATAGTAGGTAAACCTAAATTGAAGTAGCATTATCTTAAATATTGTGAGCCAAGAAATTTGGAGATCCTGTGTAAATGGTAATGAGTGCATTAGCTGAGCTATGTTTTGAAAGAGGTTTAAAAATACATACTTATAAGTGGGAAAAAGGGGGAAAGAGGTTTTTTGGTGGAATGATGAAAATAAGGGGTGATAAAAAAGAAAAAGGTAGCTTATGAGAGGTTTTATTTTAAGCAGAAATGTTATAAGAAGAGAGGTAGAGTATATGAAGAGAAAAAGAAAGTGAAGAGAGTGGTGAGAAGTGCAAAAGGAGAGAGATGATAAGAGTGGGGAGCTTTTTCAAGAAATTTGAAGAAAATAAGAAAATTTTTGGGGTGAGATTAACAAGGGAAAAACCAGGGAACGAATGATTTGTGGTTTTAAAAACAGAGTAGGGATTTTTAGTGGGAGCTGAGGTATTGGGTAGATGGCGGGAATATTTTAGGAACTTTTAACCCTTTGACTGTTGAGCCCAAAATTTTGAAAAATGTCTTCATATGTCACAAAATATTAAAAAAAAAAAAAAAATGATTTTTTCTTACCAAAATCTTGGATCATTTGCTGAGTGTTTTTAGGGCCTAAAAAATTTTTTGGTCCATAACTTACAGATATAGAGGCATAAAGTTGGCAGAAAATGAGCCTGTATTTACCTAGTTGTATCGCCTAGTTGGGTTGCAGGGCAAGTCCGAGCTCCTGGCCCCCTCTTCACTGTTCGCTACTAGGTCCTCTCTCCTGAACCGTGAGCTTTTCATACTCTTCTTAAGCTATTATGGATCCTGCCTCATACATCGCTTCCCAACTATTCCCTACTGACTACTCTGTGGCTGAAGAAATTTCTTCCTAAAAATCCCTGTGATTCATTGTGTCTTCAACTTCCAACTGTGTCCCTTTTCTTGTTCCCAAACTCTGGGAACATCCTTCTTTGTCCACCTTGTCAATTCTCTCAGTATTTGTTTTCGTTTCATGTCCCCCCTTCTCTCCGTCTCCAGTGTCGTCAGGTTTATTTCCCTTAACCTCTCCTATAGGCTACTCTTAGCTTGGGACTAGTTTGTTGCAAACCTTTGCACTTTCTCTAGTTTCTTTAGTGCTTGGCTAGGTGTGGGTTCCAAACTGGTGCCGCGTACTCCAAATGGCTAACGTACAGGGTACGGGGGCCTGAACGATTCCTATTAAGATGTCAGAATGCTGTTCTGAGGTTTGCTAGGACGCCATAGCTGCAGCAGTTATTTGGTTGATGTTGCGCTTCAGAGGGCCTGGTGTTTTTAAAACCCCCCCCAAAATCTTTTCCTTGATGAGGTTTGTAGTCTGGACCTAGACTGTACTCCGTCTGTGGTCCCCTTGCCCCTTTCCCCATTTTTCAGACTTTGACTGGGACCCGAACTCCAGGGGCCAACTGCTGGACCAGTCTGCAGCCTGTCCAGATCCCTTGTAGTTTGCCCCGGTCTTCATCAAGTGAATTTTCTAAACTTCATGTCACTCAAACAGGGACACCTCAAGTCTTTTCCCTTTTCCTCATGTCGTTCACAAATACCAGAAACAGCATGGTCCTAGGATGACCCCCCCCCCCTGTGACCGCTGGCACAGGGGCCCCACTCTGACACCTCGCCAATACCATGACTGCTGCTGTCTTACAAGTATGTTTCCCGATCTTTGTAGTGCCTTTTCCCCGTTATCCTGCTTGGTCCTTCCAGTTTTTGCACCAATCTCTTTGGTGGAACTGTGTCAAACGCTTCTTGCAGTCCAAGAAAATGCAATCCACCCACCCCTCTCTCTCTTGTCTTACTGCGTTCACCATGTCATAGAACTCCAGCAGGTTTGTGACACAGGGATTTCTCATCCCTGAAACCATATATTGGCTGCCTTTTGATGAGATCATTCCTTTCTAGGTGTTCCCACCACTCTTCTCCTGATAATATTCTCCATGATTTTGCATGCTGTACATGTCATGACACTGGTCTGTAGTTTAGTGCTTCATGTCTGTCTCCTTTTTTAAAGATTGGGACTACATTTGCTGGTCTTCCTGCCTCAGGCATCTCCCTGTTTCAATAGATGTATTGAATATTGTTGTTAGGGGTACACATAGAGCCTCTGCTCCCTCTCTCAGTTACCCATGGGGAGATGTTATCTGGCCCCATTGCCCTTTGAAGTGTATCTAGCTCACTCAGAAGCCTCTTCACTTCTTCCTGGTTGTGTGCACTGTGTCCAGCCATGGTGGGTTGCCCCACCTCTCTGTCTTTCTGGAGCCCCTTCTGTGCCTCTGTGTACACTTTTTGAATCTTCTTGTTGAGTTCCTAACATACTTCACGGTCATTTTTGTTGTCATACCTCCTCCTTCTTCCTTAGCCTGATTACCTGGTCCTTGGATGTTGTTTTCCTCCTGATGTGGCTGTGTAAAGTTTCGGGTCAGTTTGGCTTTCGCTGCTATTGTCGTTTTCATATTGTTCTTTGGGCCTCCCTTCTTATCTGTGCATATTCGATTCTGGCTTACGACTGCTTCCTTATTTCTGGTCCTTTGCCTTTTTTTCTTCCATTCCCTAAGCACACTTGGTTTTTGCTCCCTGCACCTTTGGGAGTGAACCATGGGCTCATCCTGGCTTTTTCGTTATATTCCTGTTACCCTTGGTACAAACCTCTCCTCAGCTCTTGCATTTTGTTTGCTTACATATTCCATATTCATTAACTGGATTCCCTGCAAGTTCTCTGTCCCACTGAACCCTGGTTCAGGAAGTTCCTGATTCCGGGTTAGTCCCCTTTCTTGTAGTAGTTTGGGCTTCATTTCGTCCTGGCCTTCCTCTTCTCCTCCACTTGTAGCTTCTACTGTGATTTCGAAGCTTAAAATCACATGGTCGCTGGCCCCAAGGGGTCTTTCATATGTGATGTCCTCGATATCTGCACTACTAAAGGTGAATACTAAGTCCAGCCTTGTGGTTCATCCTCTCCTCTCTCTCTTGTAGTGTTCCCTTACGTGTTGGTACATGAAGTTTTCCAGTACCACCTCCATCATCTTAGCCCTCCATGTATCTTGGCCCCCATGCAGGTCCAAGTTTCCTCCCAATCGATCTCCTTGTGGTTAAGTCACCCATTGATCAGGAGCTTTGCCCTGGCATGCTGAGCTCTTTGGCCACTGCAGCCAGTGTGTCAACCATCAACTCTTGCTTGGCCTCCTGTGTTCTGTGGGGTTTTACTTCACTGCTTTACCACCTTGGGACCTCCGGGGTGAAGCGTTCCGCTATGTAATCACTTTCTTCTCCGCTGTCTCCTCTCTCCAGCTCATCAAATTCCAGCGATTTTTGATCAGCAATGCCACTCTCCCCCCGTTCCTCTCTTTCCTCAGGATTGGTATCCTTTGGAAGGATGGCATTTGTTATCATACCTGTAATGGCAACAGCAGCGAATGCTGTTTCACCCAGTACACTTATATTTACTCCCATTTGAAAGTTTCTTGTATTTTCCAATATTTTTTTTTCAAGTCACTTATGTGGCCTGTAAGACCAAAGGTAAGGTGCAATGTACAGATTTTGCACTCGTTGTATGCAACACAATAACTGCAAAAAAAATTATCATTATATTGTTTACAAAACTTGTTTACACAAACCAACAATTACAAAATTTTTTTTTATTATTATTGTTCTATAATATATATACACATATGTAGTCACTGGGACACTCCTACAACTGCTATTAGCATCTGGAAGCTCATCTCTTCCTTCCCTCCTTACTTCCTTCTTCCCTTTCCCTTTCGTATCCTGGGCATTGCTTTTGGTCAAACTCCTAAAAGCTATGAAATTCATCTTTGCGGGACACTTCCATCTGTGTTAGAGCTATCACTGGGGAAGAAAAAGAGTTCCAGATTCGCCCTGGAGTCAGATATTTCTTACTGCTAGGCATGCTGAACAAAGACTACTGAAATGGCACTCTCACAATGCATCATGGCTCCCCCATTTTTATTATACTGTTTCACACTGACCATGGCAACCCATTCTTCACATGTGGGCTACCAGCTTTTCCTGCTTGATTTGAAGCTGCTAGAATTTATGCGTATTAATAGTCAAAACATTGGCTCGTAAGATGTAATATATGGCCCAAACGTCAACGGATTTAAATGTCGATGAAGAAAGGGAGGAGGTAATTTCATGCACTGGCCAGCTAAGTATAACATCTTTTAGGAGTGAACAAGAGCAGGTTTGGGGGTGTGGGAGAGGTGCGTGAAGCATTACGTAGAATGAAAAGGGTAAAGCAGCTGGAACTGATGGGATCATGACAGAAATATTAAAAGCAGGGGGTGGTATAGCGTTGGAGTGGTTGGTATTTTTGTTTAATAAATGTATGAAAGAAGGGAAGGTACCTAGGGATTGGCAGAGAGCATG